TATTGAGCATATTAAACATTCTAAGAGCAGAGATAGCTTCCTAAGTTTGAAGGAAAATGACCAGAAAAAAAAAGAAGCCAAAGAGAAAGGTGCCTGGGTTCAACTAAAGCGCCAGCCTGCTCCACCCAGAGAAGCACACTTTGTGGGAACCAATGGAAAGGAGCCTGAGCTGCTGGAACCTATTCCCTATGAATTCATGGCATGATGGGTGTTAAAAATAAACTAATCCGTGGTCTATTAAAAAAAAAAAAGATATCAAGTTACCCCCTCAAAAATCCAGGTGTTCAGTCTGATGGTTACGTACCTGGGACTCTCCCTGACTCCCAAGACCAGAGTTCTCGGGACAGACTGTCTTCAGGCTATTAGGACGCCAGCCACCTCTCACAGCTTATGCCATCTGGTCATTTTTAGGCATTAGGTCCCTAACCATGCACCTTTGGCTCGCCCTTTATATCAGGCAGCTAAGGAATCCCCTGTAGGGGACCTCTCTCCCCTGGGAACCATCTCTTATTTCTACCATATAGGCTCTCCTCACATTCCTTCATCCCATCCTCTTTATGGATGAACGTTTGGGGTGGCTGCTAGAGTCCTGGCCCACTTGATTGGTCCCACTTATAGCCCCATCACCTATCTCGGCAGCTGGATGGGATGGTCCACGGTTGACAACCTTGTCTCTGGGCCCTGGCAGTGGCAGCCACCCTAACCAAAAAGGCTCTCAAACTCACCCTTCTCCAGCCTCTTACAGTTCTCTCTGCCCACCACTTTCAGGACCTCCTAAGTTATTGCGTCCTCCCTATCCTCTGTCCCTCAGGGATCCAGGAAATCCACCTCCTCTTCATTGAAAATTCCTCCATAATCCTCCAACACTGCCCCCCACTTTTTCCTTTTACTGTGGTTTCCTCCTCAGACAACACCCTGCCTCACACTATCTCGTAATAGATCTCTCTCATCTGGCTCATCCTGGGCTTGTGGCCATCCCTATAAGAAACCCCACCCTTACATTGTTTGTACATGGAAGTTAGTGGCCAATGCCTCAGGGCTCCCAGAAGGCATCATATGCCATAGTCACTCCAGACTCCACCTTGGAGGCGGACACTACCACTGGCAACTACATCTCAGCAGGCTGAACTCTATGCCCTCACTAGGGCTCCACGTCTTGTCTAAGGACAAAAGGGGCAACATCTACATGGATTCCAAGTATACCTTCCTCATTGTTCACAGTCATGTGGATATATGGAAAGAACGCAGCTTCCTCACTGCACAGGGCTCCCCCATAATCAATGGTGATTTATTCTCTGATTTACTCCAGGCATTCCAGCTCCCAGCCGAGGTAACAATCATACATTGCAAAGGACATCAAATCTCAACAGACCCAATAGCTATAGCAACACTAGAGCCAATACGGTGGCCAGATAACTCACTTCTAATTTTAAACCCATCCTGTTTTTCTCCCTGACAATTAAACCTTCATATTTACAACAGGAACTCTTCCACCACCAACAGAACCTTGGAGCCACCCAATTGGATAGCAGATGGCTGTCTCTTCCTGATGGCTAACTGGTCTTACCAGGTACCCAGGCCCTTAGCCTTCTTACCCATGTTCATAACTCCTCCCATATAGGTCCACAGCCTCTATATCAGTTCCTACAGTCACTCTTCCCTCCATGCCTTGATCTTTGCTGTTCACGATTCCTGTTCAACCTGTGATTCCACATCATTCCAGGGAGGACTCCATCCCACGGTTCCCTATCCACCAACTCCAGGGACACATGGCTTGCAAAGGCTGGCAAACATTTTACCCTCATGCCTCGACACAGTTTAAATACCTTCTTACTCTTGTAGGTACTTTCTCAGGTTGGACAGAGGCCTTTCTTTCCTACCACCCATGAGACCGCTGACACCATAACCAACATTCTCCTCTAGCACATCATCCCTCGCTTTGGTCTCGACCAGCATTCAGTTTGATAATGGCCCAGTATTCATCTCACAAGTGACTCTGCAGGTCAGCGAAGCCTTAAACATCATTTGGAAGCTCCATATTCCACATAGGCCTCGTCCTCAGGTAAAGTAGAAAGGGCCCTGCTAAGAACACCATACCAAACTTACACTAGAACTCGACCGGGGGCAGCCTGACTTGCCCCCAATTGCACTTACCTGTCTGCGGGCAACCCCCCTGAAAACCCACTGGTCTCAGCCAATTTTGGCTGACTACCCTCCCCTATTTGGCCTTCCTCCAGGCTCTCCTGAGAGAAAAGGCTTTTGCTAGCAGTACTTTATACCGCCTACTCATGGGAATCATGGTAAGTCTAAAATGTCTGGACTGGCTAACCAGAGCTGCCTTCCCATGTGGTTAGTCACCCTGTTAATCCTCTTACCCCTGGGTCTTGGGCTTTTACAAGAGGTAAATGGCAACTCCTCTCCCCCTTGCCTCACATGGTGCGGCTGGACTGTCCAACAGACCACTATCCGCCTACAGCTGGGATCATACCTGCCAACGCTTGGCCACTCCCATTATCATCCCAGGGCTCCCAACCCAACTGGCATTCATACATCAGGGAAAGGGCGACAAGGCTTGCCTCAGTCTCAAAATAATCCAACAATGCCAGAACCAAAAGACATCTTAATTTTGTAGGAAAAAGCAGAGGGAACCATGGTTGTTACACATGCCCACCCCCCTCAGGAGAATGGATATGTTATGAAAGCCTTAGACAGTATGGGCTCCCAGATGGAGAAGGTAAATGTCCTACAGAAACTCAAGCTGCCACCCAAGACACAAAACAAAAACAGACCCCAAACCTCCTGAATCGGTTTTAGACTCCTTATGCCCCGAGGAGACCCTCAGCTGGACTTGAGAGTTATTGTACTCATTAATACAACTCATGCTCTCCTGTCTTGGGTGAAGCCCCAGCTGGTGTCCAGTTAATGGATTTGCATTGAAACAGCCCTTCCCCGCATATATGCCACTCCAGTCTACCCTACGAATGATAACCCATTAGTTAATCTGACCTCTGTACAGGAAGAACCAATCTCCCAAGTACATCTTCCAAGTCTCAGGGCTGCTTTACAAGTTAGGGTTCCATTGAGGTAGGTAATGTGTCCTGCACCCACTTGTTTCCTGAAAATGGGACTGTACTACTGTACTTTGCTCTCAATGCCTGGGGTTCTATCTCATGGGCGGACCCTATGCTTACTGGTGCCTCCCAGCAAACTGGTCCAGAGCCTGTACCTGGACAGTTCTCACCCCCCAAGTAGACATCCTAGAGGGGAATGAGACAGTTGCTGTTCCCCTGGTAGGGCTATAAAATTCATCCCTCATTGGATTAGGAATTACAGCTGAGTGGAATTTGGTGTTGGAGGAATAGCACTCTCCGCTGCCCACTACCAGCAGCTCTCTACTGCTTTGGCAGATGGATTCAAACAAATAGCAAAAATTCAAAACCCTACAAGTTCAGCTAGATTCCCAGCTGATGTTGTCCTACAGAACCATAGAGGGCTAGATCTCTTCACCACTGAAAAAGGTGGACTCTGTCCATTTCTGGGAGAAGAATGCTGCTTCTATGCCAATATATCAGGAGTGGTCCAAGACATGGCTTAACAGCTTAAAGGTTTGGCCTCTAAGCAGAGACAAGCAGCGGCTGACTCTTGGACAAATTGGGATGGACTATAGACATTAGCACCATGGTTACTGTCTCTTCTGGGACCACTAAAAGCTATTTTTCTAATCTTGGCTTTTGTGCCCTGTGTCTTACACTTGCTCAGAGAACGCGCATCACCAATGGCAATTAATCAGATGCTCCCGCATCTCTATGCACCCCTTCCCCAAGACCCTTGGACCAGAGGACCCCAAGTCAGTGTCCCTTCACAGCCTGAAGCAGCCAGAGCGGTACTCTTATCCCTTTAAGGTCAGAATGTAGGGTCTGGGGGAAGGGAAAAGAAACATCACAGAAACATTCCCGCTGGCAGGAACTTTCCTGTTGTCCACACTGGGAACCTTCCTGTCTTCTGCATCTGGCATGCCCACTACCAGTTGAACAGAAATATAGTCTCCCATTGGCCAGGACAGGATGCCATAATGCTGTGGCAACCACTCATTGGACAAGGGCCCCTATAAGAGGATGAGCAGCAATCCTTTGGGTGTGGCTCCCCCCAGCCTCTGTTCAGACCAGGGGTCCTCGCCCAAGAGCTTTTCACAGAATAAATTTTGTTTTGCTAAACCCCAAGGCCTGGCTTTTTTTTTTTTTAGAGAGATTTTTGCTATAGGGCGCATGTGCTCGTCATACAGACAGACAGAGACAGACGGAAAGCGAGAAATCACCCCCCAGGGGGTATGGCCACGCCGCAATCCCTTCTCCGTTCTCCTCTCGGGATCTTGGACACGCACGCACACACCCCCAGCATGAGTCTTTTAAGCCACACGGTCCGGGACACAACCCATGGTCAACTACCTGGGAGTCCAGTGACATAGCCATTATACTAACTGCTGGTCCCCAAGGCCTGACTATTTTCATCTTATTTTCTATGCTATCTCTGACTCCAGCGCCACAGATCCTAAATCAAACTTGACACATGCCACTTGCTGGTTCCCTATTTCTTAAGAAATTGTACAAGTTAACCCTTTTTTTTTTTGGAGAGGTTTTTGCTACAGGGTGCGAGCACTATCCAGGGAGAAAGACTAAGCAAGAAATCACCCAGGGGGGATGGCCATTCTGCAATCCCTTCTCCATTCTCCTCTTGGGATCTTGGGCATGCATGCACA